CGACCACGAAGTCGGCTTCGCTCGAGCAAGGACGGGGCCAACAACGACCCCCCTTGACACTCCCCTGCAGTGTTCACGCTTGGGCCCCCAGCCCACACGGCAGCAATACTCGGAGAATAGCCCGTCGACGTGCACCCAACACACAGCATGCCGGTCATCGCACCAGCCGTGCAAGAGGGCATGGCACCTACTGCTGCACGTCGTCGTCGCCGTCGCCCTCGTGAGCTAGGCGCACCTGGCCGATTGCGACGGAGCACCGGTTGAAGGCCGGGTAGCGCAGCGCCTTTGTGAGGAAGTTGGCCGGCTGGTCGGTGGTCGGAATGTACTTCAGCAAAAACATCCCTCCTCCTCCCTCCTCGTCGTCGAAGGTGAGCTCGGCGTAGGCGTCGACCGAGACCGGCGTCTTCGGGGTGTGCCCGGTCTGTTCCCCGTCGATGAACCGCCTGCGCAACTTGTTGGCGTAGCCCTGCTGGTGCAGCCACAGCTTCCTCGCCGGCCTGTCGCGCACGAACTCCAGCCCGAGGTACTTCTGCACGACAAGATCTCCTGCAACTCGAAGGCGGCCTCCAGCAGCTCCTTCAGCTCCTTCAACATCTCGGTACTACTGCCAGCGGCAAGAAGGTCGTCAACGTACACCAGCACCCAGCAGGTCACATTGGCGGTGCTGACCTTGAAGTAAAGGGCCTCGTCAACCTGGCTCTTCTTCCAGCAAGCGCCGACCAGCACGTGTACCACAGCAGCAAGGCTCTTCAGCAGTTTGCACACCCGGCCGGTCCCGTCGTTGAAGTAGTCCGATTGGTACATGTACAGCTACCGGTTGAGCTTGCTCTGCAGGTTGGCGTTCTTCGTGTCGAGCTACATTAGGTTGAGGTTGAGGATGGCGACGATGCTAAGGAAGAACCTCAGCGTGACGTAGCTGCTCACTGGCGCATACGTCTCGTCGTAGTCGGCACCATACACCTGCGTGAAGACCTCCACGACCAGCCTCGCCTTCTCGCCCTTGATGGTGTTGTCGATGTGGTACTTCGTCCTCAACACCCACTGGTTCTTCATGATGTTCACCCCGGGTGGACGTTCGACCAGCTCCCAGGTGCCCATGCCGATGAGACTGCGGGTCTCCTTATCCATGGCGGCTTTCACCCCCTTGCCCTTCCAGCTCGCCAACGCCTCCTTCACCGTCCTCGTCGAGATGTCCCAACGATGCTTTTGGCCAGCGCCACAGGCAACGCCCCACTTCTCCCCTCATTGCCAGGGGCCGACACCGGAGGTAGCCCACGCAGGACGGCAACAAGAGGAGGGGCAAGAGGGTCGGGGGAAGGCCCACCTAGCCTTCGGCTTCACCTTCCCACCACGCTGCTTCTCGGGGACCAGAAATTGCAACATGTAGCCCCACACCCGTGCCAGCGTCAGATCGGGCTTCTTCTCGGTGAGCAGCTGGTACGGCGTCGTTCCCGGTGGCAACGTCGACCTCTTAAGGCAGTTGCGGACCCAGACGGCCTGCCGCAGAGCGAGGTGCTACCAGTGGTGATGGACGCCCATGTGCAGTAGCATCGTCCGCACCGACTCCACCACTGTTCTCATCTCCCGCTCCGTCACGCCATTCTGATGCGGGGTGTACGTGCAGGTCAAGTCGTGGACGATCCCCTTGCCGTCCACGAAGGCGGTGAAGTCCTTCCCGAGGAACTTCCCTCTCTGGTCAGAATGCAGCATCAGCACCGCCTTCTGCGCCAGCCGCTCAGCCACCGCACAAACTCCTGCAGCACATCCGACTTCTTGGCGACCGGCCTCACCCACACATAGCAGGTCTTGCGGTCCTTCGGCAGCAAGAACTACAAGTTGCATCCTTGGCAGCCACGGGGAACGGCCCGCACAGGTCGATGTGCACGACGGTCAGCACGTTGTCGGCGTTGGAGCCCTGGTCGGGGAAGGTGTGCCGCGCCAGCTTCCCGCCAACGCACGAAACACACGGTGAGTCGGCGGTAGACGCCGATTTGAGATCCAGTCTAGTGGTGACCTCGTGCGTTGCCGAGCTCCAGATGGTGCCCATGCCGACGTGCGCAAGCCTCGCATGTAGCATGTCCGGCGTCGACTTTGTCGCCGAGGCTATCGCCCACGGGGCCACCACCACATTTGTGGGCGTCATCAACGTCGTCGAGCAAGGACGCAGGTCGGTGCAGAGGACCCGGCCGGTGTAGGACGCCCGACCGAGAAAGTCCCTTGCCACCGTGACAAGCAATATCCCGTCGCCGTCCTCCTTCAGCTTCACACCGTTCTCCTTTAGCTAGCTAGCGAACAGCAGGTTCGCGTGCACGCCTGGAACGTAGAGCACGTCGAGAATCAGCACCTGCTTCCTGGCCTCCCCTTGCAAAGCGACAATACCTCGCCCCTGGACGTCTTGTAGCGCACCATTGAAGCCGTGCACGTGCTTGATGTTGCCGCTTGGCTGCAGGTCGACGAGGATCTTCTTCGTCCCCATCAAGTGGTGGGAGTAGCCGCTGTCAAGCAAGACCACCACCGGGTTCACTTGCACGGCCGCCACCATCGCCTCGAAGTCCTCGCCGGCCAGCGAGACGATCGGCTCCACAATGCCGACCAGCGAGCACAACGCCTCCTTGTCCTCGCGCTTCTTGCCGCCAGCAGAGGAGTCGGCGTCCTTCACCGAGGTCGAAGACTCGGTCGACTGCTTCTCTTTGCGCGGCTGGTTTCTTCCTTGACGCAGACGACGGCTGCCCGACCTCTGCGACCTCCCTCGGCATCATCGTCATCGGACTCACTGCGGTCAGGGCACTCAAAGGAGAGATGGCCGGGGTCGCCGCACAGCCAGCACTTCCGACATCGACTTCCTCCTCCTCGACCTCAATCTTTTGTCGACTTCTGCTTATCGGCATCCTTTGCCGGCTTCCACCCGTTACTACCACCGCCGCCAGATTGCCCACGCTGTCCGGTCGACCACCTTGCTTCGCCGGGACGGCGTAGTTTGAAGTAGCCGTAGCTCAGCGCAATGCCTCCCAGAGTCACATGGGTTGCCGACATCGGCGACAAACTACTTAATTGACCTCCGACGTTGCCTTGCAAGGAGCCTGCATCCGCTGATGACCACATCCCTCGAGCTTGAACGCTGCCAACTTCATCGGCGTATATCACACCTCGGTGCCTCAACGTGCCTCCTGCACTGCAGCCGACCTGGTCAACGACGTTAACGCCCACGTCGACGCCACCTGTGTTGTTCACTGGTCGAGACGAATCAGGTCGAGAAGGGTGCTCCGTTGCCCACACAGCCCGGATGCCAGTCTTGACGACTGCCCAAGGGATTGCTCCGTACTCCTGGGCCTCATGGCGTCTCCTCGCATCCTCCAGCTATGCTTCTAGGGTGTCCATCGCCTCTGTGTCACCTACGCTCACGATAGTGACCGCATGGATACCGGCCTACGAGCAACTGAGGTAAGTGACAACTATATCGACTACACTGAAAGGTAAGTCGTGGGCCGTCCACGCTCACCGCACCATACGAAGATATCTAGGTCAACGAGAGCTAGACTACGGGCTAAGCACGGGGCTAAGTGATTCTTTGCATGTCATTAGAGCTACACTGTGAGATTCCCGATCAATCCTAGGGGGGGTTACAGGCGCGTTTGCCTGGGGGGTTATGGGCGCACTGACCCACTACTAAAAAAAAGCCCTTTTATCCCAATGGTCTAGTGGTTGGGATTCTCACATGGTATCGAGCAGGTTCCCTCGTGGGAACTGTTCCTAAGGCCCTACTTCTGCTTCCGGTGCTACTCGGTCTGTTGCATGCCCCGCGGCGTGCGACCTATTTTCATCTCGCCTCGCGCCGTTGGCACGCGGCGATTTATTTTCTGGCGCGCGCCCTGGGGCGCGCGACCCCGCCTCTTTCGTCGCGGCCCCGCCCCTTGTTGCGGCCCCGCCCTACGTCACGACCTCACCCTACGTCGCGGCCCCGCCCCTTGTTGCGGCCCCGCCCTACGTCGCGGCCCCGCCCTACATCGCGGCCCCGCCCCTTGTCGCGGCCCCGCCCTACGTCGCGGCCCCGCCCTACGTCGCGGCCCCGCCCCTCGTCGCGGCCCCGCCACCTCTCGTCGCGGCCCCACCATCTCTTGTCGCGACCCCGCCACTCTCGTCGCGGCCCCGCCCTTCGTTGCGGCCCCTGCCGCCCTTCGTCGCGGCCTCTGCCGCCATTCTCCACCTTGGCCCGACCACCTCCCTTGCGGCCCTGCAGCCCTGCACCGACCCGGCCTCGCTTCTCCTAGCCCCGTCGCCGCTCCACCTGGCCCCGCCGCTGTCCCAAGGCGGCCCCGCCGTCACCACCGCGCCGCCGGCGCCGCCGAGCTAGTGCCGAGTCACCCGAACCGCCCAAGCCGCCTGAGCCGCCCGAGCCGCCCCAGCCGCCCCAGCCGCCTGAGCCGCCGGGTCGCCGAGCCGCGGAGCTGCGGTTACTGCCGAGCAGCCGTACCGCCGCGCCGAGCCGCCCGAGTCGCCCGAGCAGCCAAGCCGCCCGAGTCGACCGAGCCGCCGAGCCGCAATTGCTGCAGTGCCGCCGTGCCGCCAAGTTGCCGAGTCGCCGAGTCGTCGAGCCTCCTCTTCCTACCACTGGTGAGCCCCTGCCTTACTAGCGCGCTGCCTACTGCTTGCTTGGCTGCGTGCCTTACTGCTGCTACTCCTGCTCCTGCTTCTACTGGCGGCGGCCAGATGCAGCTCCACGACGCCCACGCGTGTCTCTCACGCCCAAGCAGCTTCGAGAGTGGTACGCTCAGAGTAGAGGGTCTCTCAGTTCTGTTCGCTGCTCTTACGTGATTCGCACTGGTGCTCGGACTGGTCAGCCTTGTGGGACGCCTAGTCACACACCGTCCCGCTGCTTTGCCCGTCTGAGCGACGCCTAGCGTACCGTGTTTGGCGACGAGGCTGAGCTCCCCGACTGGGTGGAGTTGCTTAGGGAGAGGGTAGATATATTTGCTCTTGACTATGATGCTATTCTCACTGCCATGTATGCATTGCCGACTAGTGCTGACCGTGCCGGTCACCAGTGCGTACCGCCTGGCCCGGGTATAGATCCTGCTGCTCTTACTGCTGGTACGACTGCTGCTCTGGGTGCTAGTGTATCTCCTGCTCCAGGTACAGGTGCGGCTGCTGCTCTAGGTGCTAGTGAGTCTGCTTCCTCATGTGCGACTGAGTCTGCTCTCTCAGGTACCGCGTCGGCTCCGGCCTCTCACACCTTCACCCTTGACTCGGGGGCTTCCAGCTCCTTCTATCGAGACTGCACCACACTCACGCCGCTTGGTCGGCCAGTTGCTGTCTCTCTGGCAGACCCCTCTGGGGGCCCTGTCCTTTCTCACTTCTCCACTGTCCTCCTGTGTCCGGCGGCCCCCTCTGGCACCCTGTCTGGTCTTTACCTCCCCTCGTTCTCTACGAGCTTGGTGAGTGGTGCTGACCTGCAGGATGCGGGGGTTCACCAGTTCACTCCTGCGAGTCAGCAGGTGACCCACTGCACGGACGCTCGGACAGGCCAACACCTGGCAACCTTTACTCGTCGCCCGGGGTCAAGCGTGAACACACTGACCACTACGTCTCCTCCAGTTGCTGAGCCTGGTAGGGTAGCTGCTTTGGGTTAGGTGTTTGCTGCAGCGTCCAGGTCTGGTCCTGAGTCTGCCCCCTGTTCGTGTCGTCTCCTGTCTCACGAGACTCTCCTCTGGCACCACCGCCTTGGTCACCCCTCTCTGCTTCGGCTCAGAGGCATGGCCTCTCGTCTTCTTGTTTCTGGTCTCCCCCGGTCCCTCCCTCCCCTTCCTCAGGGCCCTGGCCCTACCTGTATCCCCTGTGTCGAGGGGCGCCAGCGTGCTGCCCCTCACTCCTCCCAGTTTCCTCAGACAGAGGCCCCGTTGCAGACGCTTCACATGGACGTGTGGGGCCCAGCCCGCGTCCGTGGACAGGGTTACGGGCGCTACTTCCTGCTAGTTGTTGACAACTACTCACGTTACATCGCAGTCTTCCCCTTGCGCAGCAAGGGTGATGTCGCTGAGGTGCTGATCGACTGGATCCACGCAGCTCGTCTCTTGCTCAGGCAGAGCTTAGGCTCGGACTTTCCTGTTCTGCGTCTGCACTCTGACAGAGGAGGAGAGTTCTCCTCTGGCCTTCTGCGAGCCTACTGTCGCGCACAAGGCATCCGTCAGACCTTCACGCTTCCGGACTCTCCGCAGCAAAATGGGATTGCTGAGCGCCGCATTGGCATGGTCATGGACGTCGCTCGTACGTCTATGATGCATGCGGCTGCCCCCCATTTTCTGTGGTCGTTTGCGGTCAAGTACGCGGCGCATCAGATCAACCTTCACCCCAGGGTCTCCAGGCCGGAGACCTCCCCAGCCTTGCTATGGACGGGGAAGGTAGGCGTTGCGTCATCGTTCCGGGTCTGGGGATCTCGGGCATTTGTCCGCGAATTATCTGCGGACAAGCTGTCTCCTCGTGCTGCTCCTTGTGTCTTCCAAGGGTTCCCCCCTGACGCGCCTGGGTGGCAGTTCTACCACCCCACCTCTCGCCGTATTCTGACCTCCCAGGACGTCACGTTCGACGAGTCAGTCCCCTACTACCGCTTCTTCCCCTACCGCACTCCGTCCCTCCCCCCGCCCCCGCTCTTCCTTGTACCAGGTCCCCCCCAGGTAGACCCTCTCCCCCCTTACGGTCTTGCCCCTTCAGGTGTGTCCAAGGTAGACGCAATCGAGCCTGTCGAGGTCACTGGTGACTCTGGTGCTGCTGCGGGTGCTGAGCCTGGAGGTGCTGTGCCTGGGGGTGCTGAGCCTAGGGGTGTTGAGCCTGGGGGTGCTGAGCCTGGGGTGGCTACGCCTGGGGGTGCTGAGTCAAGGGGTGCTGAGCCTTGGGGTGCTGAGCCTGGGGGTGCTGAGCCTGGAGGTGCTCCGCCTGGAGGTTCTCCTGGTGCTACGTCTTGTCGCAAGCCACTCTCTCCACAAGAGCTGCGCGAGTGGTTTGCCCGGCGCTAGAGCCGTGCTGCTGGTGCTCGAGGTTCGTCGACTACTGAGGGTGCTACTGTCGCGGGTCCCGGAGGTGCTCGTACTGGGAGCACTGGAGCTGCTGGACCTGCGGGGTCGACTGGAGCTGGTGCTGCTGAGGGTGTTGGCACTGAGACAGCCGCTGGCGGTCCTGCTGGGGGTGCTCCTGGTGCTGCTGGAGGTTCTGAAGCTACTGGTGGTGCTGCTAGAGCGGGTGCTCCTGCTGAGGGTTTTGGTGCTGTCCCTGCTGCTTCTAGCGTCGCCACGCGGCCTCGACTGTACTTCGTTCCACTCCTGTAGCAGGTTCTTGGTCTTCCACCTTCTACTGGTCCTCCTCCTCCCTTAGAGTGTCCAGAGCCTGTTCCATCCCAGCTACAGTTGCAGCCTACCTCTCCTTTGCCTGCTCCTTCTCCCTACACTGGTCCTACTGGAGGTCTGGCTGAGCATCGTGAGCCTGCGTCTCGCCCTGCGTCGCCTGTCCGTTCTACTCGCACTAATGGTCGCGGTTCGCGTCAGCGTCCTCCTCCTGTCCCTGGCACACATCGGATGTCTCTGCGTCCGTCCACTGCTCCTCTGCGTGCCCCTTTGCCTTCTCCTCCTGAGTCCTCTCTTCCTGCTCTTGCCGACCCTGAGTCGGACTCTCTTCGTGCTGCCAGTCCTACTGTCACGCGTCTCCTTGCTACTGTTTTCACTGACCCCTCTTTCAAGTCCACTGCTGCGTCTGCCCTAATTGCTGAGCTTGTCGACTTTGCTGCTCACTGTCGCCTAGACTACGCTTCTAGTCTTGTCGCTGAGTCTGAGTCTGTCTGTCCTCCGTCCGTCGAGGGTGAGTGTGCTCTTGGCACGGACGTCCTTGAGGACAGGCAAGAGGAGTTCCAGTGTATGGCTGCTGCTTCACTTCATCTCGTGTCCGTACTGCTTACCCCTTAGGGAGACCCGGATGCACTTGACATCCCGACTTCGCGCTCTTACGCGGAGGCGATAGAGGGTCCCTACTCCTCTTAGTGGCAGGCAGCTATGGATGCTGAGATGGCTTCCTGGAAGTCCACAGGCACCTACGTTGACGCTGTCCCCCCTCCTGGGGCGAACATCGTCAGTGGCATGTGGATCTTCAGGGTGAAGCGGCCGCCGGGTTCTCCGCCTGTCTTCAAGGCGCGTTACGTGGCTTGTGGCTTTAGTCAGCGGCAGGGAGTTGACTACTTTCAGACCTTCTCCCCCACCCCAAAGATGACCACTCTTCGGGTACCGCTGCACGTTGCTGCTCACCGTAACTACGAGCGGCACTCTCTTGACTTTAGCACAGCTTTCTTGCAGGGCAGCCTGCACGAGGAGATCTGGCTGCGTCGCCCACCTGGCTTCACTGGGTCTTTCCCTCCTGGTACCCAGTGGAGTCTCCGGCGTCCAGTCTACGGTCTCCGCCAGGCGCCACATGAGTGGCACGACACACTGAGGACTACGCTTGCGGCTCTTGGGTTTGCTCCCTCTACTGCCGACCCGTCGCTGTTTCTGCGCACCGACACCTCTCTGCCGCCATTCTATATCCTCGTGTACGTCGACGACTTGGTCTTTGCCACAGCTGACACTGCTGGACTCGCCTACGTGAAGTCTCAGCTGCAGAAGAGACACACGTGCACAGACCTGGGTGAACTGCGCAGCTACCTTGGCTTGCAGATCACCCGGGACAGAGCACGCCGCACCATTACCTTGACTCAGTCACACATGGTGCAGCAGGTCCTTCAGCGCTTCGGCTTCACGTACTCCTCGCCTCAGGCCACTTCCCTGTCTACTCGCCACTCGCTCTCAGCTCTGCCTTCGGATGAGTCCGTAGAGTTGACTGGCCCGTACCCAGAGCTTGTTGGCTGCCTCATGTACCTAATGACCTGCACACGACCTGACCTTGCATACCCTCTTAGCATTCTCGCACGCTATGTTGCTCCTGGGAGACACCAACCATAACACAAGGCTGCAACGAAGAGGGTGTTGCGCTACCTGTGGAGTACGTCGGGCATGGGGCTAGTGCTTGGAGGGCGGAGTCCAGTGGTCCTCACTGGGCACGCGGTCACTTCTTGGGCTGACCACCAGGCTAGGCAGCGGTCGTCACAGTGTTACACCTTCAGCCTTGGTTCCGGCTCTGTTTCGTGGCGGGCTACTTGCTCGTCTTCTGTTCTTGGCTCTATTTGTGAGGCTGAGATCTACGCCGGGGCCATGGTTGCACAGGAGCTTCGCTGGCTCACCTATCTGCTGACCCGCTACTGAAAGAAGCTTTTTTATCCCAATGGTCTAGTGGTTGGGATTCTGACATGGTATCTAGGCGGTCTCGGGTTCGAATCCCGGTGTATGCACATGTTGGTCGTTGCCAGTGTGCTCAGTCTTGGGCCTCCCAGTTTGGGGAGGTGTCAGTAGAGCTACACTGTGAGATATCGGATCAATCCTAGGGGGGGTTACAGGCGCGTTTGCCTGGGGGGTTATGGGCGCACTGACCCGCTACTAAAAAAAAGCCCTTTTATCCCAATGGTCTAGTGGTTGGGATTCTGACACTGCGTCCATTAGTTGTTTGCTTATGCGCACACTAGTTGCTAGTTCACAGGGGAAAATGGCAAGAGTTTCACTAAGCAAAGCTCACAACAATGATCCAATAAAGTTGGCAAAACCGGACTACATCATAGCTAGGATGCAAGCAGGACGGCTGCCAGTGTAGAATGGTCGACCGCGTGCCAGCACGACTTGGTCGACCGCACTCGAGCAGTGCAGTGTCGCGGCTTGCCAACGCTGCAGGTCGACAGCGTGCCAACAGCGCAAGTCGACGGCATGCCAGCGTTACTCCAGCAGAACAGCGTCGCAGACTGACTTGGGTGAGCGGCCTCGTTCGCCTCCAGTTCTGTACATCAACAACAAGGCCACGATTGCCTTTTGTTGGGAGCAGAGACTGGAACACAGAACAAAGCACATAGAACTTCGTTACTTTCTTACTCGAGAGTTGCAGCGGCGTGGTCAGCTTCGCCTTGCTTGGCCTCTCAGGCCAACAATGCTAATGTCTTCACCAAGGCCCTTGGATCTGGTGATCATCAGCGTTTCTGCACTACTCTAGGCCTTGTTCCTACTCTGCCTCACCTGCTGGTTTGCTTGATTTTTCCTTATTACCGTGATATATATATATATATACATATACACATGCATGCTTGCTCTTGCTAGGTTGTGATCACTGTAGTGCTTGTGCTTTTATAACTTTGCATGTGAACAAGCCTTCTGGCGCTTGCTTGTGGTCAGACTGCGTGGTGATCTTGAGATCCACCCTAAGCTTTGTTTTGCTTTGTTCTCTTGCTTGACTGGTCTTGTGACTGTTAAGTGTTCTTGCTACCCCCCACTTTGCTTATGGGGGTGTGTCAAAATATGTTATATTTGTTACGGCTGAAGTTGGGGTACACTGTACTGATTACAACTCTTTAGGGTTAGGTCTAATTGTACTCGCCCTTCATGCTAATGCATTCACTCTTGCCCGTTATTTCTGACAAGAATCGTTGTAGAAGAGCCAATATCGAGCCATGTCGAGCCTTGACCAGCACCTTTCACTCTACTTTATGCCATCGCAAGAAGTAAATCGCCCCCTTCTGCCATCGGTAATGCTGGTGGTGTTGACCCGACTCCCACGTCTGAAGCAGCATGTCCCAAGAAATCCCGCACGGCCCTTCCTAAAAGGGAGTACAGCTGAGAAGGTTGTGCCGATGGACATTCCTCTGATAGAGGACACCAATGTACCATAGCTTCGAAAATCGAGCTCATAGAGCACCACTGCTCTATGCCTTGTGCCTACTCTGCCTCAGCTGACAAGACATTTTGCCAGACTTGGGATAGTGTGTGAGTGATTAAAGTGGAGGTGCAAGAGCCCGGCTTTAAAGGAATGCGAGCTCTTTGTGTGGTTTGACCCAGACGCTACGACAACTCCAAGCGCGTCAGCTCAAGGGCAAAGGGCAAAGGAAATACACTTGGAACCTAGCGACTACAATTGGAATTAGTGGGAAATAAACCAGACGGGAGATAGCGAGTTAAGGGATTGCAAGAGAAGGTCGAGCCACATAAGAGGAGGAAGGTGAGCTTCAGAGGGTGTACATGGCGAAGAAAGTGGAGGAAGAAGAGCCAACTATTGCTATGGATGAATTGGTGAAAGGGGATGCAATGAAATGGGAGGCAAAGGAGTTGCTGAGGTGTATTGAAA